ACTTTTCCCATCCATTGAATAGGCTTCGATTCTTTGGATCCTTCCACCGTAGCCTCTCAATCCAGCTCCACCTTCAACGTGACTCCATGGCAGATGATCAGTCTACCCTAGCGCCCCGTCGACTTCAAGCTCTATGTGTACATCACCTTGAATTAACCCCGCGCCATAGCCTTGTCGAAGACACACAAGCACTCAGGCCCGTGTCACGTGTTTCCACGCCCAGAAGTCGTTCACCATCAGCATCACGCTCCTATATCGTCGTCGCCGATCCCGCACCATCTTCTGTACCAACCGACTCATGTCGATCCGTCAGACTGTCCAGTCCGACCCAGCCGAACATATTCGTGCCAACCAGCACATACCATGCCATTACTCGACGCCCTGTTAAACATGATCCTCATGACGCGCTCGTCCGCGCCCTCCGTAGCCTGCCCATGTGTTTCAAGCCCTATCAGCAAATCAACCATGAAAAACATCCATGCGACTGCACAATTTTTCTTGTCTTTATTTGCTGTTGTTGTAGCTTCTCCGTGCACCTTAGCAGGGAAAAGATTAAATCCAAAAGTGCCCACGTACACACACATGGCCTTGGCAATTCTTTTTTTTTCAAAACAAATCTTGGTCGCTGTCTTCCGATTGCGTCGTTGATCGCAGCAGCGACTCACTGCGCGCCCTGCCTTTGCTAGCCTCGCACGTATGGGCCACCCAACACCTGGGCCGCAGCCATGATGACTGGGCCGTGTGCTCCCGCACCACCACCAGCGCGTATCACGCACCGCCTGTACGCCAAGTCCCAGCTGCCTGCCTGCTGCATCGGTTTCCGCACGCGATCAATCTGCTGCCGATCTCGCCGAGTCGGCTTCGAACACGACGCGTGTTGCTGCAACTCAACGCCAATCACGTATGTGCACGCTCATACACGCCGCCCATCGATGTGCCGATCAATCCGTAGCTCATGATACCACTTGTTAGAATAAATCCCAGGCACTCCGTCGATCATCCGAGGACCAAGCAATCGCACGAGCATGACACCGAGATTTGTTAACGAGGTTCACCGATATGGCTACATCCCGGGGCCTGAATACGGGCGCTCCTCCCCGTGACACCGTCACAATACCACACACTGGCCTCCCGGGCAACGGCACATGCCGCCGGCTCCCCCTTGCGCGCCTGTGCTATTATGTTGGCATAGGTTACATCGTGTGTCTACCCCCGCTATATAAGAGAGGCCTAGGATACAAGTGTCCTACTAAGACACGACTCTACATCCTATGTAAACACAATACAACTCCTAGTCCAACTGTAACCTACCGTATACACAATATTCGACAGAACTCTAACAAGGCAAGTCAAGGCAAGGCCTCTCCTCCCTCACGCCCCCTCCGCCTCTGCGTGCGCCAGATATTGGTGCATGAAGGTTGACATCCTCACTAATGATTATTCTCATCGCACTGAGGATATTGGCGCACGAGGTCTACCATTTCAAGGTCCTGATGGTCGCATGCTTTATTACCAAAGACCTCCTTTTTCTAAAATAACGCACGAAGCCTTTTTCGAATTGGAGTTGCCACGCTTGCTGAACAGGTATTTGAATGCTCGAAACTCTGGATTGCAGGAGTAGATGAAATTTCTGCCATCACAAAATGGTAGCAGTGCAGAACACTTACAGAAATGACCCTATGAACATTATCCTACTGGTTGGTGTTCTGCGTGTTTTACTGTTTTAGCATACAAAAACCGTAGTAACAAAAAGCTTCTGCTACAGCTGTGCCCATGGTAGCCTGAAGCGATACGAGTTAGCTGAACCCCCGCCCCCTCTTTTGCCCACCTTAGTGTAGTGGAATCTGAGTGTATTTCGGTTATTTTTGCTCCATGAATTAATCTTGGCATCGATGTGAAAGTGAAAATATATTCGAGGAGGTGGGACTAGTTAAGTGCCATTTCATATTTGGAATTGCAAAACGCGGGTAGTAAGAGAATATGACTGACCAGAAAAGATTCCCTCTAAAAATACTGATTGGTGAAGAGTTGGGACTAGTTAAAAGTTTGTTTTTTCAAAATTTGAATTTGGCTACTCTGTTAATTTACTAATGGGGGTTTAATTGCATTTATCAGTTAATGAAGTTGGTAATGATGCTTATCAGCATTCCTCTTTGCAACTGGTAACGAATTGAAGCCCCTCCATCCAGTTTGAAAATTTCGGTTTAGTACTGTATAGATGTAATTTACCACCTGTCAAATGTCTGCATACTACTCTACGTCCCATAATATAAGAGAATTTTGTATAGAAAACCCTCTTATATTACGCCAACTCCACCGTGCGACCCCATCCTGTCCGGCCCCGTCCGTTTGGGGTAAAACGGACAAACCGGGCGGCCCAGCGCGCGGCAGCAAACAAACTTTTGTCCATTTTGTGTCCGCTTTCGACCCATCCGCGGTCCAAGTTTGCGCCGGTTTTGGGGTGAAACGGACACCACACGGACGCGCCGGCCTTCTGCGCGTGTCCTCCCCTGGCCCGCCCGTCGGTGGCACAGGATGGGCATTTTTCTATCCGCCCCCTCCCTCCCTCCGGCCGCATCCCACTCCACTCTTCCCGACTGTTCCCCTCGCCGCCGCCGCCACTGCCATTGTAGCCGTGAAACTCGGACGCGCGCTCGCCCAGCCCCTTCCCCACGTCGCCGCCGAGCTACCCAACCACGGCCACCTGGTTTGCGCACCCGCCGGCCGGATTTGGGGCGGATCCGGTCAGTCTTGAGCTCTCCCGGCTGTGGGAGGCCGGGCCGCGCCATGGACTGGTCGGGCACCTCGCCGGAAGGCCCTGGCAGGGCCGCAAGGCCACATGCAGGCAGTGGCTCGTCCTGTACCCGCTCGGATCTGCACCGTCGGTGGTCCGCCAGCAGATACACGAATGGCGACCGACCGGGCTCGATGCTTGCCCAGAAGCTCGTCGGCGCACCGTTGCCCCTCATCAAGTGCGACCACTGCCCAAGTATGGTTGTGCGCCGCGTGTCTACAACGCCGAAGCATTCCGGATGGGTGTTCATCAAATGCTTAAACAATGGGGTATGTGCTCTTTTTAGCTTTGGTTTGTGCTCTCGAATTAGACTAGTTGTGCTAACTTTAAGTTTTATTATGTAGAATGGATGCAAGTTTTGGTATTGGGAAGAAGAGTACATCGATATATTGATAGAGCGAAATTCAGTACATGTTCGTGCACTTTTAGCTAGCCTAGAGGCTGTAGATGAGAGACAAGTGCACTTGTTGCTAAATTAAAGGCTAGGCATGATACTACGTGTGGGGAAGCAACAAGGCATGATACTACGTGTGAGGAAGCAACGCCGACTTCTGGCTTGAAGAAGAAAGGAGGGTGCAACATCGAGCCTCCTCCACAGATCAACAATGAGTGCATCGAGAAGGCCCTAATCCAACTCAAGGGAGTAGTTATGAAAGTTGGGTATCTTCTCAAATGTATTCTTGTGGTTCTTGTTTTCTTTGGCCTTACTTTACTAGTCAAAATGTGATGATGCATTGTCATGTACCAAAAATGAATGATAAAAAAAGTTTAAGGACTTGCAAAGAAATGTGTACATGGACAGGATGTGGCCGGGATGCGTCCGCGCGCTGGGCGCACGACCACCGCATCCCGAAAACTGCCCAGACACGACCTCATTGCCCTACCAAACGGACAAAATCCGGACAAAATGGACATCCGTTTGGGATCGCGCGGTGGAGTTGGCCTTATGGAACGAGGAGAGAGGTACATGCATCAAGCATGGCAGGTGGACTGACCAAGCAACAATATATAGTATGAGAGAATCTTCACCAGTGAATGAAATGAGAGGAGGGTAAATGCAATGAACCAATGCTAGTGGACTGACTGACCATATACAGTATGCAATTATTTCCTGTGAATCCCTGTATCTCTCTGAGTGACCCACTGAATAGTTGCATCAGCCAAAAGCACTACTATTCCGAGGCATCGTGGGGGCTCTGTTACTTTTGAGAGCCTAGCTAGTGTCTTCTTCTCTTGACTGCTGCTGTTCCTGGTCTTCCTCTGCTCCTCGTCTCCACCGACCGAGTGCTCCCTTGCTATCATCTCTGTCTCCTCCATTTCGCTGCCAACCTCCGAGCTCGCCTCTGCCACTGCAAGAGCCCTTGCGAGTTCTTGCCAGGAACACGGCCCTTCTTAGCACCTGTGGAGAGGGGAGAGGGCCGGTGGATTTTTTGGGTATGTTTTCTGTCGATTTTTTCCAGTTAAAGTAGCAATGGTTGGAGCTAGAAAGTCAGATCTCCTGCTTCAGAGTCTGATCTGATTTGTGTTGGTTGGATCCAGGGTGGCTGTGGAACAGCAAGAACACTGGAGTTCCGGGTCCGTCAGAGCACGATGCTGCACTCAATCCACTGATCTGCTGAGCCTGGTAATTAGTACTGCCTCCGTCCCATAATATAAGAACGTTTTTGACACTAGTGTAGTGTTAAAAACGTTCTTATATTTTGGGATAGAGGGAGTAGATCTCATCTTTCCTGCTATGCATTCTAGCTGAAATCTTTCACATCCATGTATTCTCAGCGAGCCATTGATTTAATGTGCTAAGTATTTTGCTGGATTATAAAATCTTATTTTTTTCGTCCTTGGTTTGTTCTGAGACTAGATTCATCTGGGAGGTTGCTGTGAAAGTGACTGTTGCCACTGGCCGAGGTCACCATTGACGCCACTGTGAGTTTGCTCCCCAATCTTCTCGTGTTCTTTGTCCCCTCTTAAGATTTTGATCGAGTTCCGGTACAGTACTGACATCCTTCATTGGCATTTCGTAGTACTTCATCCATCGGTCAAGCCAATAATTCCACACAAACGCCCAACTAATGGAGAAGACGGCCCTGAGCGTTGGCAAGTCCGTGCTGAATGGAGCGATTAGATACGCCACATCCGCCCTGGCAGAGGAGGTGGCTCTGCAGCTCGGAGCCGGCGCGACCAGGTATTCATCACCAATGAGCTCGAGATGATGCAGGCTTTCCTTGAGTCTGCTCATGACGAGGGAGATGGCAACAGGGTGGTCAAGGTCTGGGTGAAGCAAGTCCGCGACGTAGCCTACGACGTCGAGGACACACTCCAGGAGTTCGCCGTGCGCCTCCAGAAGCAATCTTGGTGGCGTATCCGTCGCAACCTACTCGACCGGCGTCGTGTGGCAATGCAGATGAAGGACCTCAGAGCCAATGTTGAGGATGTCAGCCAGAGAAACATGCGCTACAGTCTCATCAAGGGCTCTGGATCCAAGGCCGCCATGGCTTCAGAGCAGTCTAGCATTACTTCTGCAGCACTGTTTGGCATCGATGAAGCAAGGCATGCAATGAAGCAGGAGAAATCAAAAGTAGAACTTGTCCAGCTCCTCAACGAGAAGGAGAATGACCTTAGGGTAATTGCAGTGTGGGGAACAAGTGGTGATCTCGGGCAGACTTCCATCATCAGGACGGTGTATGAGGATCCAGATATTAAAAGCAAGTTCTCATGCCGAGCTTGGGTCAGAGTGATTCATCCTTTTAATCCAAAAGATTTTGTTCAGAGTTTGGTGCAGCAGTTTGATGCAGCCCTAGGGGTTGATGCTCTGTTGAAAATGGAGAAGACATTGCAAGAGTTGGCTGAAGAGTTTAATAGATATGTGAACAGTAAAAGGTACCTGATTGTACTTAATGACCTGTCCACTCTTGAGGAGTGGGATCTGATCAAAAGGTGCTTCCCAGACAAGACAATGGGGAGCAGGATCATAGTGTCCACAGCTCAAGTTGAAGTTGCAAGATTATGTGCAGCGCGGGAAAGCATAGTATCAGTGCTTAGGTGCATGTCTGCTGATCAGCGTATTTATGCTTTCCACGAGAAGGTAATATTCAAGTTTCACCTCCTCCTGTTCCTTTAGATCAAGCTACATAATTACTCATTTAATATGCAGGTCACATTTGCTTTTGGTGCTTTGCTAGCTAGTTGAATACATGATGGATAGCTTGATTGGATGACTCAAAACACGAGCGAACAAAAAGAATTTGTGCTTGTTTTTCATGAGCTTGTGTAAAGTTCTTATTTATAAATTTGTGTACTAAAGCAAAGCCCAGTATATAAGTAGTATCTGAATCTCAGGACCATCCCCCCTCCCCCTACCGGTCGCTCTCGCGGACGACGCGGAGGGGAAACCTAACCGCCGGCCCTAGCCCCCCTCCTCCCCCCTCGCCGCAGCCGGCTCGCGCTAACGGGCGAAGCCTGGCCAGTGTCGTTGGCGGCGTGGCCTTTCTTCCCCTGCGCACTGGTGGCTGACGCGGGTCGGTCTCGTTGAGTGGTGGAGGGGTGCTGGCAGAGGGCGCGACAGCGCGGTGGCAAGGTCGATGCTTTGCGGCGGCGTGATGGGTTCTGTGGTGTCCAGCGCGGGTTGCGGCTAGAGTGGTGGTGGCGGCCCTTGGAGCGGTTCTGAAGATGGTGGCGGCTCCATCGAGCTTCTTCCTACCTCGCTGGTCGGCGCTGCTAATGTCTTTCTGGCTGGATCAGGCGGTTGGTGGGCCTGAGGGTCTGGTAGGGATAGATTGGAGGAAACCATTGGTTGGTTGCTGTGGCCACAATGTTGGCGACGCCCCGACGTCGTTTTCGTTCCTGAGGTGGCATCGTGATCCTACCCTTGCCCCCTCATCCCCGTTCTGGATGAAAACCCAAATTCTCCTGATTGGGTGGTGACAACGCTCTGGTGGTCAAGGCTTCGGCGTGGGTGGTGGACTGCCAGATATCTCCACTAGTGCTCATGTTCGGCTACGTGCGGTTGAAGATGGTTCATGCATGTGGCAATGGCGATGTTGGCGTGTGCTCTTGTTGTGCTTGTCGTCCTCTCCCCGACAACCAGTTGGTCTTGGCCATGCGAGCTCAGGGGTGAGCGAATCTACCTGTCGATGACAGAGTGTCCTCCAATCGAGGACTAGAGGGCAGGGGGCCCTCTTCGGCGGTTGAGAAGGATGGCAGATTGACAATGGCTTGCCTCATGGGAGTTGACGGAGCATGGCAATCCTCATACAGCGGCTACTACCTCGTCTTAGCTGCGTCGTGTGCTTGCTCTAGTTTGTCGAGGGCTCGATCATCATGCTTGCGCTTGGTTCATTCAATGCTTGTTTGTGGCTCTTTTGACATCATGTATCTTTGTTGTTTATGTTTCTTTCTTTTTCTCTTTTGTTGTTGTGGCTTGTTTAACTCGTGGTGTAGTGGTTGCTTTATAATATAAAGCGGGGAACCTTTTTTGTCATATAATTAAGTAGTATCAGATGACCAAAAAAACCAAAATTATAAGTTAAGCCTTTCGCAAACAAAGTGCACACCCCATTCGAGTACTAATGTCTGTGTATACCTGCACGTGTTTGTTTGAATTTATTTGAATTTTAAGTTGTGGTTTCTTCAGGAAATGGTACGAAAATATGTCAATAGGGTTCAAATGGGAATGTTGCATTTTAACTATTCAGTCGATTCTTATAATCTACATATTTAGCATTATTTTACATTCATTAATGCAATAGGGTTCTCAACATGGATGAACATTTCTCGCTTGTGCATAGGTCTCTCAAGATGGAAGAGGTTTAGAGTCAAGCGCAGATCATGTCACTACGACTACAAATAACAACTCTATAGTGCCCACTGGTGAAATGTTAGAGGATCAATTCCAGGGAGCTGCTGAAAAAAATACCATAAAAAAGAGCTTGACTCGCGCCAGGACAATGATGAATGCTTTGGAGGAATCTCATCTTATTGGGCGAGAGAAAGAAAAATATGAGATTATCAAGCTTATTTCAAATCAAGCTACCCAAGAATACCAGGTGATCTCTGTGTGGGGAATGGGTGGTCTAGGAAAGACCACTCTAGTCAAAGATATCTACGAAAACCAAGAGCTGGGTAGCACATTTGAGAAGCGTGCTTGTGTCACAGTTATGCGTCCTTTCAATCTTGAAGTTCTTCTTAGGAGCTTAATTATGCAACTAGATAGAGAATCTTCAGATAAGAAAGACGTGGTCAGTTTGATGGGCAAGAGAAGGAACACATTACTATTGATGCCACTAATAGCACTTATTAAGGAGATGGAAAGTCTTTTAGAAGGAAAGAGGTGCTTGATTGTTCTTGATGATGTATCATCTACTGCAGAATGGAACATGATAGTACCAAATTTCCATGGAATGGAACATACAAGCCGGATCGTGGTCACCACAAGGGAAGAAAATATAGCTAAACTTTGTTCACAGAGACAAGAAAATATATACATGCTCAAAGATCTAGAACACAAGGATGCACGTGACCTCTTCACTAAAAAGGTACTTAGTTACAAGGTATTATCATCTTTATGTTTATGTGGCTCTGTCATATTGTGCCCTATGTATTTTTTTTCCGTTGTCTTAGTTGTTCAACCAAAATGATCAGCTCTATTTTGAACATAACTTAATCAATAACATCTCCTTTCCCTACAATAAATGGTCCATACTGGGAGTAATTCAGGCATTGCAACAAAAATGTAGTTCATGATTCCCAATAGTATGTTTTACAAATATATATATATATGCTTCCTAACAATAGTGATCTCCTGGCATACTGGGAGTACATGCCAAGAATTTGGCTGGTTCAGTTGCTCAATCACTTTCAAAACACATAGAAGCAAATGCCCTGTTCATGATTTGCAAATTCCAATTGTTGCTGCAAAATCGAACTGATTAGCCATTGGTCCACCCACCTGCATCTTGTCTATCCAGAGGGCTACAACCGCTCTATTCCATATCAATCAGTATTTGATGAACAACTTGAGTATAAAGTGATTTAATTCTACGTGCACATTTTTTAATACATGTATACGAGACAAAGATTCTAGCATGTCAATTCCAACAAGTACACTGAAATATTATTTCCCAACCAGGTTTAATCTCCGTAGTACTAAATACCACATGATTTCAGGTATTCAAGAAGACTACTGATTTGAATTTGCAATATCCAGAGCTAGTTGAACAGACAGAACAGATTCTTAGAAGGTGTGGTCGACTCCCCCTTGCAATAGTCACCATAGGTGGCTTCTTGTCGAACCAACCTAAAACCTCTTTGGAATGGAGGAAATTGAATGATAATATCAATTCTGAGTTGGAGATTAATCCAGAGCTTGGGACCATTAGAACTATCCTGATGAGAAGCTATGATGGTTTACCTTATCACCTCAAGTCATGTTTCCTATATATGCCCATCTTTCCTGAAGATTACAAGATTGGCCGGGGCCGCTTGGCACGTCGGTGGAGTGCAGAGGGTTATTCAAGGGAGGTGCGGGGCAGGTCTGCAGAGGAAATAGCGGACAACTACTTCATGGAACTTATAAGCAGGAGTATGATCCTACCATCTCAACAATCAATTCAAAGTACAAAAGGAATAGATTCCTGCCAAGTCCACGATCTTATCCGTGAAATTGGTGTCTCAAAGTCGATGGAAGAAAATCTTGTTTTTTACACTTGAGGAAGGTTGCAGCTCAAATAGCCAGGCCACGGTGCGCCACCTGGCTATAAGCAGCAACTGGAAAGGAAACAAGACCGAGTTTGAGAGCATAGTGGACATGTCCCGTCTACGGTCAATCACATGTTTCGGAGAGTGGAAGGCATTTTTTGTTTGTGACAAGATGAGGTTGCTACGAGTGCTGGACCTGGAAGACGCAACCGGTCTACATGATCATCACCTTAAGCACATCGGGAAGTTTCTTCACCTAAGATACCTTTCTCTAAGAGGATGTGATATTGTTCACCTTCCAGATTCATTGGGCAACCTGAGACAGCTTGAGACACTAGACATTAGAGGTACCAAAATAATGATGCTGCCAAAGTCAATCGTCAAGCTACGGAAGCTAAACAATCTTCGTGCTGGGAGGATTCTGCTGGATGAGGATGCCTCACTAGAACTGATAGAGGATTATTTGCCAGAGGTATTGAAGAACGGGCCATGCAATTTATTTTTCTGGATGGTGTTATCTTGTTATGCCTGTTTACTGTCTTCCAATGATACTGACCTGAGCCACCGAGCTATATGCACTTTGTTCTGCTGCTCCATATTCCCTGCTGCGTTGATGCGCCTGGAACTAAATGGGGTTCTAGTGCCAAGAGGAATGAGGAAACTAGAAGCCCTGCGTACACTGGGTGTTGTGAACATTGGGCGACGGGGAAAGGATGTTGTAAAGGACATAAAACGGCTTGTTCGTCTGCGTAAGTTGGGAGTGACCGGCATCAATAAGAGAAACGGGCAAGAGCTATGTTCTGCAGTTGTTGGCCTGAGCCGTCTGGAATCATTGTTGATACGGTCAGAGGGGGAGCCAGGTTTATGTGGCTGCTTGGAGGGAAAGTTCACGTTTCCAGAGACACTGCAGAGCCTCAAGTTGTAGGGCAACCTGGTGAAACTACCGGAATGGATCCAGAGGCTCAAGAATCTGGTGAAGCTGAAGCTGCGGAGCACCAGGATAACAGAGCACGATGCTGCCCTGCAAGTCCTTGGGAATTTACCCAACCTGGCGTTCCTGCATCTGTTGAAGCAGACAGCCGAGGGTGAAAATGTCCGCCTCAGTTTCCAGCAGGGGATGTTCCCAAGCCTGGTGGTGCTGGAGCTGAGCATGGGACTCTTCGAAAGGCTCAGGTCCGTTAAGTTTGAACAAGGAACTACACCGAACCTTGAGGTGCTCAAGGTCTGTACGTGTACGAGTAGGACTACATTAATCAACAGCGGTTCCGTTTTGGGTCTACCATCTCTCTCAAGCCTCAAGGAAGTTGTGCTCGAAGGTGACTACAATGACTCTCAATTGGCATACCTGAGGGCCGAGGTCGCTGAGAATCCACATCGACCCGTCGTGAAGAGGGTCTGATCGAGCTTCAGAGGTCGATCACGCGCAACAATCCAGGGCAAGCTAGGTGTACTGTCTGTATTTTCATTTGTGTGCAGTATCTATGAGTAGTTTTAGTTTTGTTCAGAATATCTATTAGCAGTTAATCGTCGATATTTATATTCGTGTTGGTAGATGGCTTGTTTCAAAGTCACATATGACCTGTAATTATGTATAGTTTGCGTCCGACAGTGTCTATTCTTCATATGGCCTGTTTGCTATACTTGTCTATTCTTCATATGGAATTTCTTTGGTGTAATGTTTTCTTCCCCGTATGTGTGCGTTCAGTGGAGGATAGTGACAGCTCTGGCTGCTGCATGTCTTCCTCGTATGTGTGCGTTCAGTGGAGAATCACAAACAAATTTTGAGTAATGCTGACTGTCTGCGGTGATCTATATATAACACCGAGACTGCATTTCCATGTCCATTGTAACACTGGAACCAAATTAAGGTGATTCAACACAAAGCATAGAACATTGACATCATTAACTATTGCAGTATTGAAAGAGGATCAAAATCCAGTCTAACTTTTGATATATGCCCTGTTATGAAATGCTGAAAAAGAAACAAGAAGTGAGAGTTCAGCATTGCCTACACTCGTGCAGCATCCATGAGACCTTCAAATCTCCGAATTTTCCATGTGAGACGGTCGGGCCGCACATCGGCCATGCTCTTGAAAGCACCCTCTGCAGGCTCCACGTCTTCGGCCGTGCGCCAGGCGACGCTAATCATTATCATCATTACTACTATTAAACAAGCAATTAATTCCTCTAAACGCACTCCATTTAGCGTACACACAAGAAAACACATGAATTAAATGGTCACGATTAGCCTACTCAAGTAGATCTAACCGTCAATGTAAAACTACCCTCACGAAAAGTACGCGAAGCAATTTTCTGGGCCGGACGAAACTCTGCCATCCCCGTACGAAAGGTTCGCTCCAGGTCCACGGGGAGGGCTTGTTGACTGCGGCAAGAACATATACCACACTAACAGTACCAGTGATTGATGGGGATTCCTCATGATCTGTTTTGTCGGGCTATTGGTGATATTTGGTGTTCCGGATCTGGGTCTTCCGGATCGGATGATGATGGCGTTCTATCGCTTACCCTTCTGGGGGCATCGTCTTGGAGCATGTGCTGGCTGGAGGGATGGTGGAGCGATGTTTCATCTCACACTTTGATGGCGGCGGCGATCGATGGCATGGCGCTGTGGAGACTCGGCGTCCGATGTGCGTAGATGGGCTCGCGCAGGAGGAGGTTGTTGTCTGGCGTCATGGTGACGTCGATGGCTGAGTGGCCAGACAAGGTAGAAGCCTCAATATGATCTGAAGACCTGTGGAAGATGGCGGCGACAACACACGAGTGCGTCTGACCGGATTGTGCCTCAGATCCGGTATGTGGCTCGGCTGGGGCCTCCGAATGAGTTTCGGCTTCCGGCTTTTTATGTTAGGCTTAGGTGAGTGGTTTGAGTAGTGGCCCAGCTAGCACCCCTTCATCATTTTGAATAGGAGTAGCGGCATATGTTGCCAAGATGGTGGATTCAGGCACATTGTTGTAATGCTTTGTAAGGTCCTCGAGAATAATCAATAAAGTGGTTGTATCCATATCCGAGATGCAGAGGCCGGGATCATCCTCCTTTTCTAAAAATTGGTGATATTTGGCCTACCGCGCTGCCCTGTGCCACCGCCTCCACGCCTCTCGCAAAAAGCAAACGACCCATGAAATCTCCGGGCCAAAATGTCAACCGCGGGCACCGGGAAAGTACGCCCGCGCCGGAATTTGGGCGGGAAAATGAAGGCACGCTAACCCGGGCCGCGTGAAGCCAAGTTTGGGCGGGAAAGCCCCCAAATCTTCGGTCCCACGTGGTGGACTCCCGAGCACGGTATGGAAGGATCCTAGGGCAACCGGTAGAGCAAAGGACGTCGGGACCACACGTGGGATCCTGTGCATGCAAACATTGGCAAGCATGGGTGCGTCGGTAGCCGGTGCCACAACATATATTTTTTAAAATCCCTCGGAAGCGTCCCAAACCTCATGGAGGGGTAGACCCTACGTCTGCGAATTAATTCTCTCGTGAAGAAGGGGGGCCTTTCAAAGCTCTGTAGGCCCGTGTGGACCGTTCTCCGTCTCGCGTGACGAGCGGGTATTTCATTGTTTGGCATGACGCAATATGCGGCCTTAGTGCGCGGTCGTCCCGGCGTACGCTTCCACGGTCCTCGGCTCCCCGAGTACTTTACAATGGATCCGGAATCGGCCCGATCGGAGACAGTATGCCCGAGCCGCGGGGTCCCACCCGAGGCGATCTTCCGTCCAAGGCCATGATCGCATGCATGCAGTCCTCCGTAACCAAAGTTTCTCAAAAAATGAAAATAAAAGAGTGAACCATGAATGATATTTAGGATTGACAGTGAAACAATTTGGGGTAGTCCCGTATATAAATGAGAGAAATAAACTGTCCAAGGCGGGAGTCTCGGCGCAGAACGTCGGAAGGGGGAGGGGGTTTGCTTATACGCCAATCAACGAAACGGGGAATTGACATGCCGTAGTTCATAACTTCTCTAACACATGATGATGATGATGATGATGATGACGGCGACGACGACGATGATGATGATGATGACGACGGTGATCCAATGGTTACGAGATGTCCATGATGCGAAATCAATACTAATAGGAAACACACGTAGGGGATTACCCCCGGGCGGGAAAAAAGGGGCGGGAAAACGATGTTTTCCAATCCAAACTTGCGGGGCCCGTAAACCCTAGTAGACGGCCTTATTTGGCCCTGATTTTTTCCCGGATGAATCCGAATTCCCAAAGTCTATATAGTTGTAAGAAGTCATTCCTAAATGCAAAAACGCCTAGATCCCGAGAATCACAAGTCCGGCGGAACCCCATCTTTTCAAGAGCTCTCCAACGCCACCTCGGTGATGGATTTCCAAGTCTATCTGACCGATGGGTAAGTAATCTTGTCAGCATCTTGTTTGACCTGTGTAGCTGCCCAATTTAGTTCTGAACTTCTGAATACCTGAGCCTCTTCATGGGTTCAGGCGGCCAATCTTCGTGGATGAGGAC